AGGGAGATGTGTGTGTAAGTTGTAAAAAGTAGAGACAAGATGTGTTGGGTAAAGAGACGGTAGTAGAGCTGGACCAGTGAGGGAGTCCACCAAGCTCTTGATGAGTGCATGGGGACATCCAAACTCTGTCATGTTCATCTGGAGGTCCAAACTAACTTTGCCCCCACCATCTCCATATAAATGTACATTAAAAAGAATGATTTAATCCAAGGTGTTGACCTCTGCTAGCTCTGTCACATTTTTATCCCAAAGTTTGGTTTTGTAATCAAAAGCTTTGGATTGAGCTGTGGTATTTGCATAGCATACGTGAAGCCCTGGGTTTAATTCCCAGCATGGCATAAATCAGACAGTGTGGTGTATATCTGTAATCCTAGTATTCGGGTGGATGGAGACAGGAAGGCCCGAATTCAAGGTCATCTTCCTGGCTACCCAGCCTACCTAGGGAATCTGAGGCCAGCTGGGCTACATGAGACTCTGTGTCAAACAAATCAAAACAAAAATACTATTGAAGCTGGAGACCAGTTTTGTCAAATAATGTCATTCAGCCAGTTTTTAAAGCTCTCTTAGTTTGGCTAACAAGTAGGGGCAATATTTCTGTCATATGCTTTCTGGGGACAGAGTAAGATGCAGCCATACACACCTTTTCCCCCAGAAGCAATATTCTCTGGCCTTAACTAACACTGTTCAAACTGAAGGTAAAACCAGCAGAGCAGCCAGAACCTTCGAGAATAGCTGGTCCAGTGCCATCACTCATTTTAACTAGCTTCTACACTGTGGTAGTCACCTAATCAAGAGAGACACAGACAAATTCCTCAGGCTCTCTATAGCTCATTCAGCTTCCAGACTTAATACAGATTCCTTTATAGCAAAATTCCATCTAAAGCTAGATAGAATTTGTCTAATTCCCACTAAAAGAAATCAAATATCACATACTTGGGAAGTTAAGGAGAAAAGAAAAATCAAAAGTTTGAAGCCAACCTGGGCTACCTAATGAGTTCAAGGTCAGATTGGATAAAATAAGACATTTCTCAAAATAAAAATAAAAGAAGACCTGGAGATGTAGACTATAAGACCATTCAAAGAGCCAGTGAGTGGTGGGTGGCGCACGCCTTTAATCTCAGCACTTGGGAGGCAGAGGCAGGTGGATCTCTGTGAGTTCGAGGCAGCCCGGTCTACAAAGCCAGTGCCAGGACCACCAGGGCTGTTACACAGAGAAACCCCGTTTCAAAAAACCAAAAACCCAGACCATTCAAAGAAAGGGAGGGAAAAGACATCAAAGAAGGAAAGGAAAGACTTTTCCTAACTCTGAGTACATCACATTCCCATCCCCTACTCACTTCCACACAGCAGACTGGAGTAATGCATGTTCCGTGATGCTTTGCATTTCCCTTCACTTCTCCGTCTCCCTTTTCTGCCCTTTCCCCCTTTTCTCTCCCCATCCTCATATCAGCCCTCCCCACCACACTTCTCTCCCTTTCTCCTCTGAATGTTAAGGAGAGTATCCATCAAGTCTTAGTGACTTTCTTTCTTGCGGACCCCACTTCTAATGAAGACACTAGAACTCAAGAATCTGAGGGAAGATCTTATAATTTAGGGTGGTTAGAAAGATGGAAGGGGTGGCTGGAGATACGACTCAGTGGTCAAGAGCACTTGCTCCTCTTACAGAAGACCCAGGTTCGATTCTCAGCAACCTACAGGGCGGCTCACAACTCCAGTTCCAGGGGATTCAATACCCTCTTCTGATTCCATGGTAGATACAGACATACATGAAGGCAAAAATATCCATACACAAAAAAAAAGGCTGGGTGGTGGTGGTGGCACACTCCTTTAATCCCAGCACTCAGGAGGTAGAGTCAGGCAGACCTCTGAGTTTAAGGCCAGACTGGTCTACAGAGTGAGCTCCAGGACAGCCAGGACGATACAGAGAAAGCCTGTTTCAAAAAAGAAAGAAAGAAAGAAAGAAAGAAAGAAAGAAAGAAAGAAAGAAAGAAAGAAAGAAAGAAAGAAAGAAAGGAAGGAAGGAAGGAAGGAAGGAAGGAAGGAAGGAAGAAAGAGAGAAAGAAAGAGACAAGGAAGAAGAGAAAGAAAAGAAAGGAAGAAAGATGGAAGATGGAAGGATTTCAGTGACTTTAGTCTGTTCCTGAGCCCCAATGGAAGTCAGTATGTATGAATGTACTTGTACAGCTGAGAAGCCCACTCACCACCAGCTTAAGCACCTATACAACTGATAGCCAGTCAGTACTATGATAAAGGCAGGTACAATAAATCAAAAATTAGCACACATACTCCTTAGTTAAGAGGTCCCAGCTTAGTGTACTTCTGAGTCTGGTAAGAACCTCAGTTTTCTCTCTCAGCCGAGAATGGATATAGTTAACATCCAGCAAGGGAAACAGATGCCTTCTAATGGGCAATTCCTGGTCAGAGAGCCTCTAGCAAAGTTGTGCATTGAAATAAACGTGGTCTTGAGATTTTGTCTGCCTCCAACTTCAGGGTGGTGGCTTTTGTCAGGAGCCACTGGGGGCTCTGAAATGAACCCTCTGACACAGCATCCCCGGGAGAGTCCAGCTGCCGTGGGGAGGTGAGGGCAACACCTCCTTGGTAGCTGGTCGCTAGTGTGCTCTGAGAACACACCCTGCCTAGGACATTCATCACAAAGGCCCATGTGTGACCTTAGGAAAAGTCCTTGAAAACAGTGAAACAAGAGTCTCCATTGAAATCTGGAATCCATTCCAGCCTCATACAGGAAGAAAATTAGGCAAAGAACAACAAAGTCTGTAGTTCAGAGAAACCTGGGGAGGCTCTGGCTGACATTAAAATCATGGAAGATTTTTTTTTCCCTTACTGCTCGGTATTTCATAAAATCTTTTCATCTGTGCAGCCCAAAAAGCTGCTAGAAAATACTGTATGGTTAATAGATGGCAATAACTGGGTAAGCAGTCAGCAAAGCAATCGGACTAAGAACAGAAATGCTGACCCATTGATGTGAGCAAGTCCACCTGACACTTCTCCAAGCTGCTGTTGAATGGTGAATGCTATTCTTCCGAACGCTTGTGGCCAACGCTGCTGTTTTCCCCTTTGGAATAACGTCTTGGTCATAGCAGGAGCCACAGAGGGAACAGCTGGGAGCAAAGAGAAAAGCCGTGCTTCCCAGGCACCGATTCTGAGATCAAGTTCATGAGTCCAGACATCACCAGCCTGGAAATGTTTATTCACTTAGAACATGAATCAGCAGAGTGGCGTGCTTACTCTGTGCAGTTAACTCAGTGAGTATTTGTGGGGTAACACCATTCTTTTAAGAACAGACCAGTTCCCTTTTGTTCCCAGATGACATTACTCACAACTGATTTGCCATATCATGTGGTTCAGTTCATGCATGTAAATAATTATAAACCTGTGCCACCTTTGGAAGCATTTTCCTTCTTTGGCAGCAAGACGAGAGGTGGGAACTTTTTTTTTTAGTCGAACAGTGACATTAAGACCCAGTGAAAATCAGTTGTCAGGGATACATGGTTTGAAATCATATTTTACATCTCATCTCTAATTTGTCTGAAAGAGGGACACTGATCTCATAGCAAGTAAGAAGACTGTGGGATCCCTTTAGCTGGACACAGAAGATGCCAGACACAGCCCCAACACATTTACTCAGACACGTACACAGAGTTTAATTTTGTTTCTTCTTAAGCACCTTTATAGTTCATTTTTATTTTCCTTTAAAAAGGAGGGGGTGGTGGTAAATGGCATTGCTTTGGTCTCCAAAACAGATGCCAGCTTGAACATTTTTTTGCCAGCAAGTATTTGGTTTGGCTCTGTGGGGGCTGAGTTGAAAAATATTTGCCGATTCCAAAAAGACTTAGCGAGCTTTGCTGCAGACTCCATGCCAACTGGCACATCACGGAGCCTGTGGCGGAGCAAAGCAAGAGCTCTCCACCACAGCTTTCCTTCGCCCGGGGTAGCCAGCGCTGGGGTTCAGTTGGTTCTCGGGGTCAAGAAATTACAGGTCACATGGGTTAGGTTACCCAAGCCAGCTGTGGGAGGGATTAGGGCAGATTCCTCCCCCATGTGGCATGATGGATAACTTTCAGAGTAGTCCACAGTGTCCTGACACCGTTTGCCACACACAATCAATGTTGCCAACCAGTATACCAGATACACACTCACTTCTAGATACTCTTATCTGATACAAAAGAGGAAAGAGAAAAGAAATGCTGTGAGGTGTTTGAGCCCTCGGATGTGAACTGTGGCGTTGAAATTTAACTGTACTAAAAATGAATGGCTACTTCCTGTAACTCTGCTAAACAGTATCAGAAAATCTACTTTATCTTGCTAAGAGAGACAAGAACCTCCTTTATTAAGACCTAGTAGAACATAGACACATAGATCCATCTTGGCGTATTGGAAGACTGGCCACACTGCCCCCAAACATCGTAGGTTAAAGGTCACTGAAGGTTGTCAAGTGTGGTCATGCCTTTCAGTACAGATGACCAGAAAACAAGACTCCCATCCTTTCAAACCAGTGTCAGTCTAAGAGCTATGTCCAATAACAACAACAACAACAACAACAATAATATATATAGTGTTCCTGTAACTGTGGACATGTAGGAATTAAGAATCTGTTTTAATGACATTGGGTAGGAAGAGTGACATCAAAGATGTAACTAGGTTACAGAGTTCTGTAATATTTTGTTATTTCACACAATGAGCAAATAAACACATCGTTTGACATTTTCTGCCCTAACTTCTATGTACCTCCCCAACTTCTCAACACCCTTTCCTTAACACCACATGCCAATCCCATGTTTGGGACATGATTATCTGATACAGGAAATCTTTAACAAATACCTGGAAGAAAAAGTCAATCTCTCAATCACCTTTCTAGAGTAATACCTATTCACCAGAACAAAGAACGGAGTACTCTCTTAACTGAGATTTGGAATCAGACCAGAACTCGATCTTACAATCACGTGTGTTGTAACAAAAGGATGACTGAAGCTCTTATTTACCATTTTGGCTTCTGAATGCATGGGCTGGACTTGGGGAGAAGCACAGGGGTTGCTGAGGTTTGGGCCCTGCATGCCCATGATGCTGGAGTTCACGGACATTTGTCTCTCCATCTATGAGGAAGGAAAGGAACACAATCAGAAGGCTGAGGAGGGCAGCGGAGGCTACAGACAGAGCTGCATTTGCTTGGGTCGGGGTTGGGGTAGGTCATGAAGCATTTCATCGAAGAGCTCAGAAACCACAGGCTTGGTGCAGGGAGTAGTACACTCTTGAGTCTTGAACCTGAGCACATCAAAGAATCATCCTTTTCTGCGTGCTCCATCGAAGATTCCCCATGCCAAAAGGAACTTCCTGGTCTGGCAGACATTGCCAAAGAAAACTACTGAGTGTTTCTACTTCGCTACACACTTCAACCATCTCTAATCATATTTATTTTTGTTGCTATAAAGAATAACATATGCATTAAAATGTTAAAAGATTATATAATACACCAAATGGTTACCTTAGGATGCCTTTGGCATTATTTTACTTGAAATTTTACATAGTAAACGTGAATCATTTGACAAGAGGAAAAATAAAATTAATTTTACAGCAACTGTCTCCTGTAGCGCCTCTCTCTGCTGTTACAGCACATTAACACAATAACAGCCCAGGGCACAGCGGTGTGGGAGGGAGGGGGTGGCAAAAGTCTGTTATCTCTGCACTTGGTGGGGTGGGAAGATTTTGACTCTACTTGGAGATCACTCTAAGCTCCTGGAATTCTAGGCCAGCCTGAGCTACACAGGAATACTCCATCTCAAAAACTAAACAAAGCAGAAAGAACCTTTTATCCTCCCACCCCCTACCCCCGCCCCACCCCCACTAGTTGCCCCTAGGGTATCTCCTACTCTTAACCTGACCAAGACTCCACGCAGCTGAGGTGTGAGACCCCACAGCAAGCTTAGCCCTTCCATAAGGAAGAAAGAAGCTGGGGGATGGGAATTACACATCACAGACGAACAGCTTCGCTTATGTGCCCTCACGCTAGCCTACCAGTGCCTAGAGTTAACAGCACTGAACAGATACCTGAACAGTGCCCTGGCATCTTCAGGGCATCCTACAGGTAATTACAGGTTGAGGGCACTTTATCTGACTACTCTGGAATAGATGTCTTTCTCAATTTTAAATGTTTTAGGATTTTGGAACATTTACATGTGCATAATGAGATATTCAGGTGATGGAATCTATGTCTAAACATGAACCACATTAATATTTCATGTACCTCTCATATATACAACCTATGGTTAATATACTAAATCATAGTGCTCCTTGTTCCCAAAAGGTTTCAGATTTTGAATTTATAGATTAATCAACTTGCATAGCATAATTTCTGTGTCAGTACAGAAAGGATGCAGGTGATCAGTAACACTTTCTGTTAAGAAGAAATTTAGTACTTTTCAAAGAAGAATGAAATCAAATACACTTATATCATGCAGAAAATAACCAGACTGTCTGTTGGGGATAAATTGATGCTTCAATGTATTTCTCCCAAAGGGTAGAAATGTGGTTATAAATTTGGGGGCTCCCCATACCCTAACCTCACCTATGTGATTTTGAAAAGTGGAGAATTGCTTATCAATGAAGGTTCAAAGTGGAGTGTGAGAACTTGTCTAGGGAGTACGCTTGAGAGCAATCTCGAGTGAAATGGTCACCGGAAGGTCACTTAGGTGGCTGAGGTTCAGTGGCTGTGATTTCTTTGGCATTGACCCTGGCAGAGGCATCTGGTTAGTAAGCTGTCTTGAGCAGTTGAGTGGTGCCAGCTAAAAGCTTTCTTCTAAGGTGGGTACAGCCTTTCCTTGGCCTGCATCAGCTGACCTGTTACCCAGTAGGGGTGTGGGAAAGGTGTCAAGAGATGCTAATGAAGGGCAACTTCCTGAGGCCTTGACAGTTCAGTGAAATAAAACGTCCACTCCCATGTGTGCACTACCTCTCTAGGGAGCGTAGGGACTCTGTTTTTAAATCATTTGAGCTGTGATTAAATATACTTAACATAAAATTTACCATTTAACCCGTTTTAAGTGCTCTTAAGTTGAGTATCATTAAGAACATTCTCGCAGGCTGTAATTAAACTGTGAAGAATTCAAGAAATGCACCTTACTTAGAACTTTCACCCCAGAGGCCAAGCAAAAAGAGGAATGCAGCAGCATTAGGCCCTTTATTCCGACGAGGACTCTTTTAGAGAGGGAAATTAAAGCCCAGGTGAGCTTTGCCTTCCAATTCGAGAAGGATGAAATATTCCAGCTACACAGGGGTGAGCGCAGCCTGCTTGGGGCTTCTTGGCAAGCAGTCAGCAACCCTGCTCATTTTTTTTTTAAAGTAGTTGTCTCTGATTGTTTCTACTCCGGTACACAAAATACCTTTGTTTAAAAGGAAAACCTGGGTTTTTCACCTTGCTGTTTACTGTCAGGTCGAGTGTGAGCAAGTGTCACCTCAAAACAAGCACCCTGGGCTTTTCTGTGTCTCTGTCCTGTCTACCATAAGCCTGGCTTTAAAGGACCAACCGGAAACAATGGCTTTTCTGAATGCCCAGCAGCATTTCGCCACTGTGAATAAAGGACCCAGGCAAGGAAGGGTTAGGCTACAGTTCCGTGGTAGAGAACTCACTAAACGTGTAGAGGCCCTGGGTCCCATCTCCAATTGCAAAAAACACCTGTATGAAGTATTCCCCTCTCTTCTCATACTAGAAGGCAAGAGCTAGGGTGCTCACAGGTTAGGAAGCTTTTATAATGATCAATGGGTGGGTACGCATTTCCCGAAATTATGGAGGCATTTGACTTTCAAGACGATAGGAAATCACTACTTGGGAAATCCCTGAAGGCAGCCTCTGCCTTGTACTCCCTGTATCCTTAGCATCTAGCAGTTTCTGGCACACAGAAAGTGTTCAACAAGGTGTGTAGCATGAATGAATGAATGAATGAATGAATGAATGAATGAATGGATATATCATGTACTTTGCATCTAGGTGTTGTGAAGGGTGTGACCTGGAAGTATGCATCCTGAAGCAATCTCCCCTTCACCTAAAGACAGTCTATATTTTGATGCCCAGGGTGGAGACTCTAAGGGAAGGAGCAGCCTTTGACTGACAGTCCAGAAGACAGTCCCAGCACTGGAGCTGGTAACATGACTACGGAAGAAGAACCTATTCTTCAAGGGGCTGGGGATCCTAGGGACCTGTCTTTGAGATTTTACCTCAGTTTTTATGAATAACTTCAGCATCGCTGAAGCACAGCACGATCGATATTTTGAGTCAAATACGTCTGGGTTGTGGCAGTGTTCTGTGTATTGTGAGACACTGAACAGCATCCTTAGCTCCTAGCCATTACATGCCACACTTCCTACCCCATTTATGCTGTGATAACCAACCATGTCTCCAAATATTGCCTGCTATCTCCTGAGGGGCAAAATCGTCCTCCCACCCCCACTGTGAATCACTGCTCTGGATGACACCTGCTGTCACCACACGCAGCTGTATCCTGCCATGGACTATGCTTGGGGAACTTCTGCAGGGGCCATGTTTCTGACTTTTTGCCTATATTGGTTCTTGACCATCCATCTGAATCTTTTGCTTCTTTCTGTCCTAAGGCATCAACAGTGAGTCAAGCTGTGTGATAGGATAAAGTGGAAAGTGGTACTAGATTTTCAGGGTTTAAGCTACCACCTCATTCCTGGAAATGACAACTTAACTATATAGACACAAAAGATCTCTGTAGTGGCATTTTTCTAGTGATTGTGTAGAATTCTGCAAAGAAAATTACTTTAGGCAAGCGGGACACAGAAGCTGAGTGGGGCCAGCCTGTGGTTGAAATAGCCATGAAATTAGTTGAACTGAAGGAAACCAGGGCTTTATGTTAATAGTGCCATTCTCCTCTGTCAACCAGTCTAGGGAGAACAACCAGATACCCCATCTATCCTCTAGCTAGAGATTATGAAGGGCTTCCAGCCTGGACCACTGAGCACTTGTAGTGGGCAGGTGCATTTGTCTGAGCTGAATCCACCTGGTCTTTTCTATTCCTCAACCTACCCCACTGATAAATGAGCCAATTGCTTGATAGACGCTAATCTGGGCACCTCGGTGTAGAGTGAGATGTGAGTTCCACTCACAACCTTCATTCATACATGGTGTTACATTAGATATTAAGCCTTCAACTGCTTGCCCTCTAGCTTCTCATCCATAAGTGAGCTTTTCAGAAACTCCAGTGACCGAATCCCCTTGGGATTACTATGAGCACAAAGTGGCACCATCAGGTTGTTAACACCCTAAGATGCTAAAATCTTCATGCTCATTGTGTTGTGGGAGGGTTGCTAACTGGGTTGTCATACTGCTTCTAGGGCTTTCGAGAGTTCCTGTGGTCCTGTTCGTTAAATCATATGCCAGGAACAATGAGAAAGATGGAAGGGAGACAGTCCTAGAAGCCAGCAAGACTTCCTCTGCTCCACTACATCTCCCCATATTGTCAGAAGGGAAGCAGTACATATAGCATGCTAATTAAGAGTGGAAACTCTTAAGGTCAGGCGTAATGTGAATGCTTTGCAACCCAGCACCAAGAGTCCAAGAGGAGAGTTCAAGGCCAGCCTGAGCTGTACAGTGAGACACCATTTCCAAAGAAAAGTCAACAAGTCAAAAGTCAGACTACTTAGATTGAGATCTTGACTCTATAACCTACGAGCTGTACACCCTTAGCCAGGAGACAGAACCCTGTGAGTTCCCACTTTCTTATCTGTGACACCAATCTGCAAGTATGTACCTCAGTGATTTTCTGTGAAGGAAAAGAGATCGCACCCATCATTTAGTAGTTGAAAGAGCAGACTTTGGAGCCAGGATTCCTGCATTCAGAATTCAGACACTCTGCTTCTCAGATGAACAAGTCACCGGCCTAACTTCCATCTTTCAAAAGATGAGGACCGTTTCATGAGCTGACAAAGTGTTTGCAAAGCAGCTAGCATATAGCAAACACTCAGAAAATGCTCCCTTTTATAGAACATGATGTGCATGAATATAGATTGCCAGCTATTACATGGGATCATTTAATTAATGCCCTGGGTTCTATCTGGAACCATCACTATCCATTTGATGACCCTGTATATGATTCAAGACGGGGACTCCAAACTGTGGTCATCCCTTGGTATCCACAGGGAATTAGCATTAGAACACCAGCCTCTGCTTTGATGCCCAAATCTGTGACTGTTCAAGTTCCTGGTACAAGATGGCCTAATATTTGCATATAATCTGCATATCCCTACCATTTATTCTATATCATCTTATCCTACCTAATACAAGAGCAATGCCCTATAAAAAGCTGTTAAACTGCATTTGAGGAATAATAAGGAGAAAAGTCTGTACATGTTCACACAATATGCATTTTTTAAACAATATTTTCAATCCAAGGTTGGCTGAATTGTGGATGTGGAATCACAGACAGAGGGCTGACTATGGCTATGAAACACTATCTTCCTGAACAAATTCCATTCATTGGCTGTGGCGGACTCACTTGTCACCAACAGGGATAGACCCTGCCTCATAGAAAAACCCCAAAGGACAGGAAAGGCCTATGGATGGGCACCTGACTACAATATGCAACCTCAAATGCACTCAGAGGCCACTGCCTTCTTCCCAGACAGCTCAGATCTCAGCTTCTACTTTCCTCTCTAGAGCTTCAGTACTAACGGGGAGTCACTAGCAGTACCCCCCTCAAAAATGCTTACGGGCATCAAGACGGCAGAAGATCCTGGCATGGTGGGGTTGGGCAGGGTCCCAGGCATGGAGGCCGGCATGGGCTGCCTCTGTCTGTTGTGGAGATGGAGCAGAGATGATAGAGAGCCTGGGACAGGCCTGGGGACAAAGAGAAAAAAACAAAAAAAAAAAACAAAAACAACACATTATTCCTGATGACCTGGGTCTGTTACCCAGCATCCAAAACCAATGGGCACACCAACATCACAGGCAAACAGATCAGATCCTCTGATGGGAGAGCCACATAATTGAGGATATTAGGGAAATAATAACAAATAAAATACATGCCTGGTTTCCTTTGCTGCTTCCTAGTTAATACATCAAATTCCACTTCATTTCCTGACCCGTTATCTAACTGATGTTCAGTGGAAACATGCTGGTGTGTCTCCAATAGCCTCTGCCTCTAAGGAAGAAAATCTGTAGCCGAATGCCCAGTTTATTCCAATCTCAGCCTCTGGACTGTCTAAGTGTTGAGGATCTGGGTACACTGGTATTTTAGGCCACGTCTTTGCCCTGAAGCCTGCCTGGCTTTGCTCGAGGTCCATATTCATTCCACAATAACAGAGCAAGCTCCGTTCATGTATTCCTGGCAGAAATATATTTTGACTTTTTTGTAATTCCACTATGAGTGGAAAAAAACAAAGTCGGGGCACAAACAAATGCAGCTGGGCCACGGGGCTTGGCATTGAACTCAGCCTTTCTTAGGGAAGTCCAGAGTTCAGCCCTCTATTACCAATCGCTCATTTCATAATAACGTGAGGTGTTAGGCTGTTTGACAGAAACTGATTTGAGCCCGATCTGCAGGATTTGAGTAAGCATTTCCCAGGGGAATGCATAGTTTGAAATGTTACTTCAACTTGCCAAAAAAAAAAAAAAATTAAGGACCTGAAATTGATTTAATGAGCCAAGGAATGTGGAGCTAAGGGAAAAGGAGAGTAGGGGAATTATTTGTGTTTATTAAAAATAGCAAACAAGTGACCTTGTGGCTGAATTCTCAATCTCCTTGGACTTCTGCTCTCTGGAGCAGGATAAATGTCAAGCCGTGAAATTAAGTAAATGGCCAACAGAAAAGTCCCTGAGTCTTCTATATTCCACCCTCTAATCCTGTATATCCTACTTCCAGAATCAGTGAATTTTCTAAAGATAATAAAACATGTGACTCCTCCTGGCAAAAACTGGATAAGGCTACAGTTCGATGGATTCTGTATAGGCCACAGCCTTCCTTCAACATGGAGAACCCTGGCCTGTCCATAGCCCCATGATAGCACAAGGCTCTGGCTAGATTTTAACCAGAGCATCACAGCCTAGTTAGAGCCTCAGCCTAGCACCACAGCCCAGTCAGAGACACCCATGAACCTGTCCAAAGCCCCCAGCAGAGCACATGGCACTGTCTAGAGCCCTGGAGGAGCATCATGGTACCATTAGAGCCCCAACAGAGTACCCCAACCCAGGCCAGAATCCCATCCCAGCACCAAGGTACTGTGTAGAGTTGTGTCAGAGTCACAGCTGAGCACTGGAAGGAGCTACCCTTCCATGAAGTTCTAGCGACTGAAGGAGAATTGGGGGCTGAGACGGGCAAGAATGCCAGCATGCTCTTCCATCACATAGCTGTTAAAATTCCACAGAAGATTAAGTTTTCCACTGTTTTTGCCCAAGTGCTCTCTTTGAAAATATAGCTATTTATCACAGTTACAGGCATCCTAAAAAATTAATCATCAATTACTCAGTATTGATATACACGGGGAAAAAACAGGAAGTGCATGTATGAAAACAAAAGAATACAAAGCCTGGCACAGAGGTTGTGTGGATGTACAGGGCTGCACTAATAGAGTACATGTGAGGAGAAACCGAGTAAGTTAGCATTAGAAGCTTACAACAATGGAACCAGTGATTTCAAATAAATCACTAAGATTATTTCTTGATATGTGCCCTGTGGACCTCTGCAGAGTCGACTCAACCACTGGGATGAGAGGAGGTATGAAGGTCCTTGGGCTTCCAGAGTTCCATCAGGCTTCAGGGTCTAGGTGTCCAGAAACACTATAGGACAGTAGTTCTCAATCAGTGGGTGGCCATCCCTTTGAGGGGTCAAATGACCCTTTCACAGGGTCACCTAAGACCATCCTGCATGTCAGATACTTACATTACAATTCATAACAGTAGCAGAACTACAGCTATGAAGCAGCAATGAAATAATGTTATGGTTGAGAGTCACCACAACCCCAATGCGAGGGGTGCAGTGTTAAGGTTGAGAAGCACTGCTGTATGAGGCTGTGACTTTAAGTCTCTTTAGAGGTGGTTAGCACAACCTAAGAGGCACAGAATGGGACTCGGTCAACAAATAACACTTGTTTAGAGCCCCCAGTTTGATGTTTGTTTGGGAGTTTGGCTGAAAAGAGTTGCATGTCGAGCAGTTATTAGATGCTGGGGAGGTGACTCAGTGGTGAAGATTACTCATTGCTCTTGTAGAGGACCCTGGTTTAATTCCCACCCCCATCATGGAGGCTCACAACCATCTGAATTCCAGTCCTAGGGGATCTGATGCCCTGTATTGGTTTCCTTGGGCAGCAGGCACACATGTGGTGCCCATACACACATGCAGGAAAAACACTCTTACACATAAAATTAAAATAAATAATTTTTTAAACCAATTTATTAGTAGTTCCCTCCGGTCCAAAGTTCATTATCTGAATTACAGTTTCATAAGAAGCAATATTCACCAAGAGCAGCTGTCTACAAAACTAGTCAGCCACCCGAATAGAAGTCTATGCAAACATGTCTATATATGTGTGGGCATCATCTTTCACCAAGTATTGGGTCACTAGGGGGAAGCTTCAAGTGCAGTTCAGAGAAAATAAAAACTTTTAAGAGAAAGACAATTGAAATTCTCTCTACATGTTATGTCGGTCTGCAAGATCGTGCTCAAGACCAAAGGGCAGCATCTATATTACCATCGTTTACCTTCTGCTTCTAACCTGATATGTTAAAAAATGGACTTAGTCACCAGATGGTATTGGTGTGATGTGTTTTTTTTTTTTTTAAGAAGGAACTCAATTAAACAATCCAATGGCTATGAATGGAAACAGCAAAGTAATTCAATTTAAAATGAGTTTTCACTCTTCTCCAAAGGCTGGAAACTCCCAAGTGTATTGAATCACTAGGGAATGGAATACTTTATTTAATCCAATAATTAGGTTAGTTATTTCCACACCCTGCATAGATCTACTAGATTTTAAAATATCAAGTATTTCCTCTTTACTTAAGAAGGCCTTTCAGGGGACCTGGCTCCCCTGGGATTAGAAGAGTTTCCAAGTGATGCCAATCAGCCCAATTAGCAATGTATACTTGGAAGGAAATAAGACTACTCAAGATCCCTGTATGCTTGAATCCTGCATAATTTCCACGTTATTGTTTTATGTAGATTCTGTGAATTAGCTCGCCAGACCGTTCTACCAAACCAATGGCATTTTCTGGGCTCCCTGCTTAACTACAAACAGTGAAATAAGTAAGATCTGTATGTAGCCATCACGACTTACAGAAACAAACAGGGCTGGGAGTGTGGCTTGGGGACACAGTGTACTTAGCAGGTGTGAGGGCCTGGGTTATGCCCTGCACAACAAACAAACCAGCAAACACCAGGTAAGCATAGGAAGAATTGTCTCCATCAGTAGGTCCAAAGAAACCATCAACGTATCCGGAATATTCACACCACTGAAGCCAGAACAGTTGTGTGCATTATCTCATTCCCTTTGTGTGTATTATTAATCTATTTTTTCATATTTAATCAATAGTATTCTTGAATAATATATTTTACTTGGTGTTTTCAAGTAATTTTCAAAAATGTTTTCCTAGTCCAGTTTCATGTGACTTGAAGCAATGCAGTGTGGTAGGTACAGTCATGTTATTCCCGCTTCTACTCAGGAGTAAACTAAATTTAGATATATTTCTCATTTGCCCACCATCACACACATCATGGAAGGGAGCAGAGCTTCCCTCATCTCATACCTCCATGGCTCCTGTAACTAAGTTATTATTGATTTTTGTGATAAAATAAATTCATGGTCCATTTCTTTTGATGTTCACACCACTCCCTGAACTTACCACTAAGTAGTGAAATTCCAGAATGCTGCTAATACATGAGAGATCATTCATCCATGTGAAATTCTATTTTCTCCTTTTTTTTTAAATAAAAAAAGGTAAATAATTGAAAAACCTTCCCAACAACACATCGATTAGATTCTGGAAATCAGTGAAGCTGTGAAAACAGAGCCCCGGCAGTCTTTCCTCTAGTGCAGGCTTGTTGCCATGAGCTAGTAATTCCAGACTTTGAGCAAGCTGAGCCTCCTTTTTAATAACCATATGCCTCTAGGTAAAGTATTTCTACTAAAAATTATTGAGGCATGGAACAAGGTAAATGTGTGAGCTCATGTTGGATTGTTCAATTACTGAACTGAGGCCGCATTAAGAGTTTTCCAACTTGACAGATTACTCCTCTTTATGCACTTGTATAAACACACCGCTTACGGCTGAAATCTATGTAAGCTTTTCTCTCAATTAAAATGTCAAGTATGACAGACTGTGTTTTCACTGTCCTTAGCAGAATGATAGGTACCACAGCAAGAGGTTTCATGTCTTCATTTTTCCCCCCAAAGGATGTTTTCCAGTCTGGGGGTGTCTGAACAGCCCATGCTGTGGTTGCCGGTCTCCCTTGCCCAAAGTCTGTCTCACTCATCTAAGTAGCTGTGGGCCAGGGCTTCGGTCTGGGAGGTCTAAAGAAGGACTCTAGACTGATCTGCTTTCCCAGGCCTTCTAACAATCCATGGTACCCTGTGACTGCTTACAGACTACTAGGACAGATAGATCTGCTATGGGATCAAAGGAAAGAGGGCAACCCCCCCCACACACACACACATGGGGGTGGGGTGGGGTGGAGAGGCTCAGGAGCTAAGCTGGCCAGATAGGAAACTGGTCTCTGCCATGCATTAGTTGTGTGATCTACAGAAAATTAATTTATCTGTCACGCAGTGGTAAAATGGTGTTCTAATTTATTTTTCTGTTGCTGTGATGAAATACCACGATCAAAACTTGGGAAGGAAAGGGTT